CAGCAGCTGAACATAAAATGACTCCTCAACTTCAGGATTGATATCATTAATTATATAAATTGGCACAGCTTTACTTGTTTCTCCTTCTAGTAAGACAACATCTGATGAGGCTACACTGTAGTCCTCGCCTAGATTTGTAGATGAAACAAGCAAAAATATAAAAAACCACAGAATATTAATGCATTATGGTTCAGTGTATTGAACATCGTCAGTAATGCATGCATTCCTCCGTGGTTTTATGGGTTTTTTTCCTTATCCTCAGACCCAGACAACACAGTCTTTTTTATTTCCCATTGCCTTTTAGATGTCTGGATGGATTAAAATAAAACTTGGCTCCACCAAAACAAAGTTTGCAGTGTTAGACCAAGAAGTACTTACAAAAGTTCCATTATTGTCTTCCATTGAGAAGATCACACTACCAAGATGTTTCTGCCTTTGATTTCTAATTGCTCTCTGGCTTTCCAAGAGATAAAAGTGAACAGAAGAACCTTTGTCAAAGTAGATTTTAGGAAAGGGCACATTTTTGTGTGGACCTCACTTTAGGCAAACTTGTCTCTAAGAATGTCTAGATGAACAACTGTGACACACTAGATAATGGCTCTGCTTCAGAAACTAATTGAAAGCATATGCTGACATCAAGCTAGCTACATACTTATTTAGAAAAGTCTGTTACCTAAAAAAGAAACTAAAAGACCAGTTCTCAGAGCTCGTACCACACGCCTATTCCATTTTGGACACACCAGAAATAACAGTGGGTTTGATTTGTAACTGTCTAAGTGGTTTTGACCTTGCACACTTCATAAGTTTGCTCTTTTTTTATGTACCTTCTCTACAGTAGGGACCAACTGGAGAACTTAACCTCCCGTTTTTAGAAGTTCAAGTCTTTGTGGGTTTTGATTGGGTTTTGCCTGTTTGTTTTACAGCTGAGTCCCCAACTCTCACTTCCTCTCCAATAAGCTCATCTAAGCAATGCATGGTGGGTATAAATATATATACAGGACTAAATAGTAGCTACTTATACTACTATAGTAATTTTTACTTTTATTTATTTTCCTTTTTTGAAGAGGTGGTGGGCTACTAGGGAAGCAAACACAATTTCTTCACTCATTCCTCTATGTCTCAGAGTGTCCTGGTCATTTATTGGTCAGCCCAGCCTAAACCACAACACAGAGCTTTCTAAAAGCTGATGCGTGATCTCTCCCACAGGGCTTGGATTCCTATTTGCTAAGCAGAGTCAGTAAACGTCTCACTACTATTTTTTGGGGTACTTGTTACATTTAGTATTAAATGTTAAGTATATAAGTATCATATACTTAGCTCTTTCCACTTTAACATAGACTGCACACTTCTGCTATTCTGATTTCTTACCAGCTGTTGCAGTTATTGGCATAGCTTTAAATTTCACAGAAACATCTGCAAATATTCCCCCAGTTCTGGTCACATTAATGATTGGTCCAACATAGTTTTCAGCAACTCGCACAGTTGAAGCTGAAAGCTGAAGCGTTCCAAAAGCATCATCATTGGCATTGATAATTACATGAGCTATCGTCTCACCCACTGATCCAAGTCGAGGAGAATTTACAACTGAAACATAAAGAAAACTTAGTGAGGGGGTGCCTGAGATACGTGCTTTCTATGGCTATAGCGTTCACAAACATATACAAGTTTAGTGGTTAGTCGCCACTAGCTTTCAACAAAATTATCTTTTTTTAGGATTGGACACAGTATAGCTACAAACTGCACCAACATACTTTTTTTTTTTTTGGTGTTTGAATTATATTATGGTAGAAAAATCCCAATTTTTAATAACTTATTATTATATTGTGCTGTGGAGCATACAAGCCATAATTTTTTTTTTAAGAGGTGAGGTACTGTGAAATTATTTATTTATTTGTTTATTTTTCCATAAGGCCGGTAGTAAGATCAATACAATTCAGAAGAATTTCATTTTTACACTTGCTGTGATGATATATAAGATTTCAATCTCCCAGCAGAATTATATCTGAAGTTTCCCTTAACATCAAGATTAATCTGGGGTGGGGGCAGCAATTAGACATGCCGAGAAGCTTTGAAGCACAAATCAGGCTGTAATGATCTGAATTTATCTGAATGAGGGATGAAGCAAACATTCTCTACACTAGAAAAGCAACATGCAGCTGTTAATTCTACACCACTTTAAAAGACTTTTTTGGCTTTCAATAAGCAAAACTAGCTTAGTTATTTCCTAATACTGAACATTACAGAAACAGCACTAGATGAACAAGTACTAGTGCACAAAACCAATACTGTAACATATTTGGCCTGAAAGACCTTGGATAAAGCAATGCAAAATGGATAAAGAAGTGCTCATCCATCCCCGACAAAATACCACACTAAAGGAAATATATGCCAACAGCCCACAAGGCCGGTAACTCAGAGATTTCTTAACTATACAGAGACTGGCAGAGGTAAAAAGTTCATCATTTAACTTGTTGCATTTAATCCTATTAGATATAAATATTAGCCTTTACATTTAAATTGTATGTTTTACATCTGTAAGATACTTACTTGGCCGATCCTGTACCTTCTCGATCAATACAATACTGCTTAACTCCACAAAAACAGATTCTGACCTCTCAGGATCATCATCATCCAAAATGGGCAAAGATATTGTGGCCTCACTTTCATTGGCTGCAAAGATCACATAACCTGTAATGGGTATATAATCTTTTCCCTCTGTTGCTCTGACAACATCAGGTGGAAGAAAGGGTGACTTTTCATCATCGCCAATAGTTCTGTATGTTACCATTACTGTACCGAGGAGACCACCACGCCTTATTATTGCCAGGGAGAGATTTTTTGTTTCTTCCTCAACTTTTATTGGTCTGTTTCGCTCAGAAAAGATGAAGACTCCATAAGGATCATCATTAGCTAAAATAGTTAATGTTGCGTTAGTATGATTTCCAAGACGACCACTGGAGACATTGATGATCAAAACTGAAAACACCTTATCCAATTCAGGAACTTCATCAGGAGAAACCTGTACTGTAATATTTGCTCTCGCTTGGCCAACATCAAACGTGATATTCCCATCCGTAGAGACCAGGTCTTTGGTAAGATCACAGACTATGATCCAATGCAGCGTCACCTGAGACAAGGCGCCATGTGTTCTCACAACCTAAGTGGAAAATATAAAGATCTGCATGTTTTTGTTCTATGACAAAGGAAAACATGAAAGTAAGAGATGGAATTAAGCAAAGCCATTGACATGACGGTTTAAAAATAAAATCACATTTTAAAAAGGAGTCATCTTTATTATCTCAGCTTTGCTCTATTTGTTGTATCATCAACACTGTTATTTTGTCAGCAGTACCTCAAATGTAAACAAGTAGAAGTAATTTTAAACCTGTGGATATTATTGTTACAACATTTTAGCTTCAAGATGAATTGTACACATTAGAAAACTCAGTATGAAATGGCAAAACAGATGTACATGGTAAAGTTGTTACAAACCCTATAGACTTAGGGCAAAATCATTGCAGAACACCCAGCAAAAAGAGAGACAGAAGAGGACTGCCCAGCAGTATGAGACTCGAAGCTTTCTAACCTGCAGCACAATATTGCTCTCTCCGTCTTCAGGCTCAGTTCCATTCACAGCAAGTGACTCAGTACTGAACTCAAACACACCATGAGCATCATCAGAAGCCTCAATAGTCACAAGGATGTGGGACGCAATCCCCAAGCTAGCTGTTAAATGCAAGTGCCAAAAAGGGTTTTTTTTTCTAGCATCTTTTCTTGCACGAAAGAAAACAGCTAGAGAAATATGTTACAAAAAATACACAGGCGAGCATGACTGGAGGATCCAGCTTTTTTGTCTTTGGCTTTTTGAAATGCGTGATAACTACCCACATGGATAAGGAACTGACTTTCAATTGTGCAGTCCTGGCAGCCCTTCTATGGAATGATGCAACAAAAACATATAATAAATACGAATATTTTAAGAGAGGAACAGAAATAAAATTACAGGTCTAATTAATGAAAATGGAGCAGAATTCAGGATGGTGGGGAGTTGTTTGTAAGCAGGTAGACTGGACAAATGCAGGTCTCACCCTAACATAAAACAGAATGATATACAAAGAAAAAAACAAGTCCACTAAATCCTACTACTAAAGAGATTGTCTTGAGTGAGATTACTTGCTGCTCAGAAAGAGAAAGAGCCTGGCACATAAGAAAACCATTTCTAGTAAAAGGAAGCAGCACTTCAAAAAAACCCCAGGAAGCTCCAAAAAGTGGCTCAACCACAGACTTAGCCTCAGATTCAAACTGAAATCCTTTGCATTTACACATAAAATTGAAAATCAGGCTGTCACAGGGGAATAAATTACTCAGTTTGGATAATGGGTGCTCAAATAACGTTTTGAGGTCTTTAGGGTTTAATTTGAAGTCCTATATGATTAGGGTTTTCCTTCAGATTTTATATTATTTCTGCATCTAGTATTTTTTAAAATTTTCTCAGTATTAAATTATCTTTGTTTTCTGTATGTCATGACATAAATACAAACTTAAAGAGAAGAAATTAAAAACAATCAAAACATTCCTTTAAAAAATCTAATGCAGCTTACTTTAACAGTTTTTTTGACAGGCAGAGAATAAAAGTAACATAAAGCACATTTCAAAGCACACAAGCAGGTAATTTTTAAATTACCTTCAAAAGTGCTTTTTTCTCTCCAGAAAATTCAACAATTTTCAAACAAATCTGATTTTGCAAATTGTACTTCTGGAACTACTATATTGTATTTTACAACAACGTAGATTTGATGGTATAGAAGCTGTTATTTTCTGTGTTACACTAAACACTGACTGCTATTGAAATTATGACTAAATTAAAATGGAAAAGTATGTTTTGACAGAATTTTATGATAAATCTAAATTAATCACTTGTAACTGCAAGTAAAGTAACGCTCTGATAAGTTGTGTCTGTATAGTAATTTATGAGGGATATTACAGTTAGCAATAAAAAATAGGATTAATTGAAATTGCTTACCATGTTGATGGACAGTTGGAAGGAAGAAATCCATGTTCCCATCACCACTACCACTGCCATCATTTCTAAAGAGCTCAGCAACTTTAAGATGACAGACATACAGATATATACAGATATATACATTTATAAATAAAGAGAAAGCAGAAAGTAATTTAAACATTTCTGGACAACACGAAAAGAGAGGGAAGTACTCTAGGAAAGATTCAATTTTGGATATGAAAGCATACAGGATCTCTGATAAAAGCCAGAAAAAAGTATATGCCACCTCTTATTTAATTTATGACATTGGAAATAGCAATGGGAGGTCAGAAGGTCAGAAAACACATACACCTCTGTTTTCTCCTTTCTTTCCCTCTTTGTGTCCCCTCTTTGCATTTCCCCTTTCTCACTCCTAAATGAGGTCTGTAATGGAGAATTTGGAAATGTGAATTAAAAAACAAAAACAAAAACAAACAAAAAAAACAGGCGCTAAACCTCCCCAAACTCTCTTATTCTAATATTTTCTCACAAACTGAAAACATGTTTCAGACAGTTGGAACAATGTGCAGAAAGCTTAACTAATGGAGACTTTTCCCTAAGTTTTGTGCTTGCAATGGTGTTGAAAAGGCCTAAAAGAGGGTCTGTGTTAAGAGGGTATGTGCCTAGTGAATTACTAGTTAGCCGTAAGTTTTCTGGAAAAAAAAAAAAAAAACCAAAACCAAAAACCGACCAACCAACCAACCAACCAAAAAAAACTAAAGAGAAAAGTTTGTTTAACTAAACAACTATTTGACCAAAAAGTCTACATGCATTAAAGGTCTGAAGTTTTTATCACAAGAATCACTACGTTGCACCATAGCGCCACATTGCACCACGGACATTCAAGGCAGTATGATATAACTTCCCAGAAGGCATCACATTGCTTTTCTGGATTGCTTAAAAATAATAGTGTCAGTTAAAAAGTCACTTTATGGCTGCCAAGATTTCTAACTTTTTTTTTTTCTTTCAACCAGCTTTGCAATTTCACTTAAAAATTTTCTCCGATGGAAGCAAATTCCTTAAGGGCTGAGTGGGTTTATGCGGCAGGAGCACTGATGCTTGCCATCCCTTGTGACACTAATATCTCACACCAGGGTTTCCTTCGAGTGTTTCTCTTGTTCTTCCACAGAGCTACCAGCAACCTCTCCAGCTCAACTGAACTCCTGAAGCCTCTCAACACCCACAGTCTCCTACTGCTATAATCCAGTTGAATAAATTAGGAGCCAGTGTATCACAAATCCACTGTTTTCATTCAAGTGGCAGATCAAAAACCCACTTTGGCTGTTTAGCCTTAAATGTTTTATAAATATTGATTTTTTTTTAATTTAAATTAATATATATTTTACAGTATTTCAATTCTTGCTACAAACCAAATTACATAATGTGAAAAGCAGTAATTGCCCTTAAATGACCTAATGTATGGTAATACCACACTTTCTTTGAGATGTGGTTTCCAGCAATGATGAACAAAATACCTGAAGAACAGTTATTTCCTAAGAAAAATTACAGCTGTCTGTGGTATGTGGGGGTGTTTGTTTGTCTTCAGAAATAACATAGAAATAGTACACCTAAGAAAGGTAAGATTTTAATGGATGAGTAGAGATCATGAAAATACAACCAATGGATTGATGGATGTGCCTTACCTCCTCCCTCTGAAAAAATCAGCAGCTCCACTTTAAATGTTTTTTCTAATTCAGGAATAGAATTATCAGTGATGTTAACAGTAACGTACTTGTATCTCTCTCCTGGCTGAAATTCCAGTGTGCCCACGACGGCCTGCAATATGAAGGCTATTCACATTTTTGTTCAAGTCTAATGTTTTCATCCATATGAAAAGCGAAATAGAACCTTGATTTTGTTTGTCTTTGTCAAAACATCTACTTTTCTTCACTTAAGCTTTTAAAAAATCTGCTGAATCTTTGTTATGAGAAAAGGCACCTGAACTCACAGGATTACAAGCATCTGCATTCATCTACATTTTTCTGCACAAATATCAGTTAGACAAGCATATGCAGGTTCTTTTGGTGAACATGTACAAATCATATTATGTACAGATATAATCTTAACCTGTACATGCACCTGAATGCTCATATAAAGTTTGATATATTCAGTGACAATAGCAAATATCCCTTGCGGCTGCACTAACAATTCTCTTAAGAAAAAAAAAAAATCAAACCAGAGGCTTTCCTAGGAAATACAACATGCTGCATGGAAATGAGGCAATAGTCACATATATATTTGTAAAGTGAGTATCACACATTCATTTATCACATCACCATACAAAGCAAAGTGTTTCTGTGAAAAGAATCACAGCTGGGCTAAAATACTTAAACCGAAGTGTACCTCCAGGACAAATAAATCTAAATAAATTCCAAAATAATTACACACCTTGGCAATGGCCATACCTGATAATCTTTAGGACTGAAAGCTGTAAGCGGCACTGTTCTGTACTCCACCAGAACTGTTCCAAGAAGACCTTGTGCACGAACTACCAGTAACCTGACGTGTCCAACTTCTTCTTTAACAGTAATACGGGGCACAGCAGAGGCTGACAGAATCATTTCATCGCCTGGCTGAGGAGGTGGCCCCACCGAGAACTGGAGTAGACCTGGCAGACGAGAAGTACTATTTACATGGCTTCTCGCACCACATTTAAATTATGATAATAAATTGAAAGCAAATTATTTATAAGATTTACATTTAATGTTTCTGAAATTAAAAAACAATTATTGATATGCTGTTAGGACTCAATCATGCTGTTTCCAGGGATGTGCTTTCTACCCTCCCCTCTCTCACTGATATCCATATCAGTCATAAAGCCACAGCACAACAATGAATTCAGATCTTCCCAAAAAAGCCTGAATGTGTCATAGCATTGGGTACTTATTGGTATAATGAGCATGCAGAAATTTCTCTCTTCGTCTGGAATTCTCATCTAAGAAAAACTTGCACAGGCTCAACTACATGTAACCTTTATCTGCTCTCAGAAGGGAACCATCGCTTGTTTGGTCAGGGCAGCTTTGATGGCTTTTTGTAACCTTCTCAAGAATATTAACTCAGCTTTCACTGTTGTATAAAAATGATGAATTAATCTCATGTTAGATAAAGTGTAACACTTGGCATTGCTTCCTCAACTACCAAGGCTAAGCAAAGTTTTTATCTGTTGAGCTAGAACTATACAATTATCTGCAACAAGACTGTATCATCTCCATCATTGTTACCATATGGGTGGTCACTGGCTTTGATGCTGATATCAGTAGTTTCCTTTTCTGGATCTATACTTGCTCCACTGGTAGGAGTTGAACCTAGTTTTCCATCTCCAGACACTGCAGAGACTAATGTCACACGGAAATACTCATTTAGCTCCGGAATGTCATCATCAATAACATGCAAATTTAAGACCTAGAGAAGGACCAAATCATGGAGAAATCAAACTATGCAATATACATCACTTAGGAGTTTCATGACCCTGCTTAACTCATCAAATTCTTTGATTAGTCAGCTGTATCTGCTGTATAGGTCTGAAAGTAATAGAGACAACACTTTTGTTTTTAATGTAATTTAACCTAATTTCTAGGATATTTTATGCTTAGAATATGCGTTCCAAAAACAACTTTACCAAGCTACCAGAGATGGAGGGCATATTTTCTCAAGTGCTTCATATTACATAAACACATAATCAAGCAAGCAATTATTTATTATTTATCTTAAGATAAGCATAATTAAAATTTCATATATTGAAAATGAAATATCTGATAGATTTCAAAATCTTGAAGAAACTGTGCTTCTGAAAAGATATTACAGTGATTACTCAAATTTAGAGAGCAAGTAAAGCAAGCTTTTTATGCCACCTGACAATTGAGATTGCAGATCACACTATTAATTAACATACCCTGCTCTGCACAGGTTAACATATTTGCTGAATCCCAGAATCCCAGACTGGTGAGGGTCGGAAGGGCCCTCTGGAGCTCCCCCAGTCCACCCCCTGCCAGAGCAGGGGCACCTCCAGCAGTGGCACAGGACGGCGTCCAGGCGGGTTTGGGATGGCTCCAGAGGGGGAGACTCCCCCACCTCTCTGGGCAAAGATAACCCCTTCTGCTTTATACCACTTGATCAGCACTGGTGGCACGCAGTGCCTGTCTGAGAAGGGAGATCTCTTTCCAAAGGTCCTGTTAGGGACTTTCACAGCAGGTACGAATTGGAGAACAGGGTACAAATACCCTCTTCTGGAGGTGGGATGAGGTACTTGTGGATCAGCTTTTTCATCTTTGCCTCCATCATCTCCCTGCAGCGTTGTTGTGTGCTGCACAGCATGGCAAAAATTGAGGTAAATACACAGAAATAGTCCGTCATAGCCCTGTCCTCCATGAACTGGGGGCCCCAGAACTGGACACAATACTCCAGATGTGGTCTCACCAGGGCAGAGTAGAGGGGGAGGATGACCTCCCTCCACCTGCTGGCCACACTCTTCCTGATGCACCTCAGGATGCCATTGGCCTTCTTGGCCACCAGGGCACACTGCTGGCTCATGGTCATCCTGTTGTCCACCAGGACTCCCAGGTCCCTCTCCACAGAGCTGCTCTCCAGGAGGTCAGCCCCCAACCTGTACTGCTGCATGGGGTTATTCCTCCCCAGATGCAGGACCCTATGCTTGCCTTTGTTGGATTTCATTAGGTTCATTTACCACAAACAATTCCAGCTTTCTAGATATTGTGATATGATCAGAAAAATGTATCAAAGAAATGGTTTATGTAGCTGATCATGTTTAGAGGCATGGTAATAAATAGCTTACAAACATCAACAGAAAGTCTCTTGGATATCTCACCTGACCAGCAACTGCTCCCAATCTCTTTCTTAGGGCCATGCCCATTAACTCCTTCAAATGTAGACATTAAATTGGACCACACAGCAGTGGAGCAAGAAGGTATGCCAGCCCTTTTCTGCCACTAGATGGAATAAGGCAGGCTGCATCCATGCTGCCAGACTAGAAAAGCTTTGGAAATTTTTGCTTTATATGACTGTATGTAATGCAGGAATATGATTCAGCGGAGAATTAAAGCTGAATGAACATGAACAAACTATTTTCAAGTATCATAAGCTTTTGCCAAGCTCTAATCACTTACATTGTTTAACCGACACCATATCCACGGTTTTAGTGGAGCCACTGGGACCCCTTCAAATGGTGCCAGTGGGTTTCAGTCAGTCCATACTGACTTCAGCAGAGTGAGGACAGCATTTTCTACTAAAAATTCACCCTTTCTATTTTGCGAAGGCTGATAGAAAACACACATTAACTTTCTACAGCATTGTGGTCCCACACCTCTTCTCCAAATAAATGTGAAATTCCTGTGCGGCAGGTCAGGACTGAGGTCATAGAAACAGATTAAGCAAAAGGGAGAGAATGTGGCCAAGAGCAGTTGCAAGACACTTCATTAGAGCAGTGAACTTCACTGCTGTCTATTTAATTAATGTGGAGAGAAATCTGAATTCCAACACTCAGAACAAAACCTGATCGTTTTCCAATTTCAAAAGTAGCTGGAACCATTATTTCAGGACAGGACTGTCTACACTTCAAGTATACATATAGATACACATACACCTAACATATGCACATATGCAAAGATATCTCATCTATTATGTGCATTCAAACATACATGCACACGTGGTGACCCCTGAACTGAGACACACACAGATCTATAAGCATCTGTCATATCACTTGTTTGTTGTCAGGGATGCAAAGAACCCTGCAAAATATAACAAAAGCCACGTGAAGGAAATGCTCTCGAGTAGGAAAACCAGTCAAGCATCCTCAGAAGGTATTTTCCAGCAGGTTTGCAAAGGACAGGATGAATAGTTAATGGGAAGGTAGGGTTTACCTCTGATCTCTGCCAAGGAAGGAATGTGATAGTGCCACTGCTGTTAGAAAAATCGGTAACAGAGTAATTAATGCCAGTGGAATCAACCTGTGAGATAATGTAATTTATATACACATAGTCGAGCGCTCCCCTTGTACGCTCCACGACACAGGATATAGTGGAACCCTCGTCAGCAGTCTGGAAGAAAGCAAGAAATTTAAATGTTTGTTATTGTCGAAGTAAATCAAAGCAATAAATGCAAAATGTGGAATTCTCTAACACTAGTCAAATGTTCAGGTAAAAAAAAATGCTGTCGTGTTATTTTTGGAGTGGTAGGAAGCTGAAACTAAACTTAATAGTGGTCACAACAATCTTACTGGAATTTGCAACAGCTTCTAGTATCTCTCTGAGGATTATCAAGGTGAGCTAATAACTATACCCTGTGGTTTCGTTTGGACACAGTCCCTTAATCCAAACTACATGTCAAAGACAGAATTGATATACTTGAAATGAACATGTCAGAAGCACCTGAAGCTACTGTTTTATATTAATTTCAATTATTTTAATTTTCACCAGCAAAAATTTAAAGAAAGATTTGGATTCCTCCTTTACCCAACCAGAAACACTACAGGGGAAAAAAAAAAAAAGATACATTAAAATTAAACTATACTAACACCACTGAGGAAAAACTTTGAAAAAATTCTGTGCTACAGTCCTCTTAACAACTCTTTCTTCACAGAGAGCATGACTTCAGTGGCAACGATTTCACATATTTAGAACAAAGCAGATACTGATACTGACCACATATTTTAGAAAGTTATGATAAGAGAACTAAAATAGAAAATAATTTTAATTGAAAATTTCCAGAAAGGCTAAAGCTATCTTAAGTATTAGATAAATTTCAGAGCTGCTGTACATCACAGTGCAGATACTGCATGTGCCGTCAGCTGCCCAGTAGACAGATACACACATAAAGCAATTAAACTACTGATAAAACCTCGCTGTGTGTCTGCATCATCACTGACAGCTCTAATACTTCTCTGGTGAAATGGACGTAAGATAAGTGCAAAACAATTAACATGCCATATAAATTTTTAATTCCGTTTCACGGTTGGTTGATGATCTGTGGCATTACAGTAGTATCAGCAGCACTTGAAACTGAAGGAATCTATTATCGTACCATATGGTAGGCACATAGAATGCAAACCGAACCAAATTGAAAACCAGTATCACCCAGGCAAGATGGTTACTCTCAAACACATCGCAAGCAGTTCAGTTAGAAAGAATGTAATTAGACGGTCACGAGAGTTCCCAAATTGGAAAGTATTCTGAAATTTGTTTTACAAAATAACCAAATACCAATAGAAACAGGTATCTTGTCTTTCTCCCTCATAACTGATTAACGAAGTAAAAATGAATTATGTTTCTTTCAACCCTTCCCCAAAAAAGTAGCAAGTTTATATACTGTCTATATGGCGGCTACCACCAACTAACAATTTAATGTTTTTTAAAAGGGCAACTCACAGCCAGTATCAACTGAATTCACACCAAACATATGCTGTTTATACCTTGTAACTTATGATTGTGGAAAAATACATCACAACTTGTCATTGCATGACCTGTAGTAAAATTCTTTCAAACACATCATGTAACCCGGAAAAATAAAACATACGTCTTTCTAATAATCCATTCTCAAAAAAAGAAAATTAAACCTTATATTTTATTTGATAACCCAGTGACAGAAATAAAGGAAATAAATGTTCTTCTAGAAAAATTTAAACCTTAGTCTTCAGTTTACGTAATAAGATCAATTTCCTTAACAAAAATAATTTGGTGGGATTTTTAAAAATGATACTGCAAATGCCAGTGAGACTGAGCCTGTATTAACATTACTTACACTTTTCTAAATTCTAGAAAAACTTTGCTTACCTACAGAAACTAAAAAAGTGAAATCAAGGCCCTGTGCAGGTCAACTGGTCTTGCCATTAATTTTTCTGTGTCCAAAACATCACCTATAATTTTTCTTATGGACACCTTACCTCAGGAATACAAGCTCCAGTGAAGCCAAACAAACCATTAGCATTATCACTTTTCTGTATTCTTAATCTTGCTGTGGTATTTTCTTGTGAAATCCGAGCTCCACCACGCACAGAAATGAGCTTTAGGATGAACAATTCCTCTCCTTCTTCCTCTTTGTCATCCTTTGCAGACACAATGAATGATTTATTGGTCTCTCCTTGCCGGTACTCCAAATACCCAGAGACAGGGTGGACATCACTTTTCGCAGGAGTTGCATGGAGTTCATAGATCTCAGCTCGGGTCAATTTACGCTCATAAAGCCTTACATCCTGCATTAGCCCCGTGTACCTACTGCTGCCGTTGATTCCTGCTCCAATTCTCACTGTTCCTGCACCTGAGAAGGAAATTACAATTTCCCTTATGTCATCTTATTTCTTCAAAGTAATAAATCTGCAGCTGAATAGTGCTACTTGTTAAACATCAATGGTAAACTGTTTACCATCCCTGGATTAGGAATCATATCGATCTTGAAATGCAAAATCAGGAGGTTCCTGGAGTCTCATCCCAGTGTGACTGGTACATCACCACAGGACAAACAACCCCATCCCAGACTGTTCAGGTTTTTTGCCCTACTAGTTCTACTAGCACATTGTCACTATCCCGTCTTTTTATGAGACTTGGAACCCCCTCTCTTTCCTTGAGATAGAGCTTTGCAGAGCACCACTGCAACACCTCTCAGCTTCTGTTTCACTAAACAGAGCCCATTTTGTCTCTCTCTGCTAGGACAGTGGGTCCTTTCCGATGATACTCATCATCACCACATTAGCCCTTCTGGACACACTCTTCCCCTAACACACTGGGAATATGTACTCCAGAAATATACACCAAATTCCAAATGCTTTTTACAACAGCATTAATATTTCTCTGTCTCAAAACAGTTCTTCTACTCAGCAAATCATAGGACCACAGCTGTCCTTTCCACAAATATGCTAAGCTGGTAGGTCATACTCATTCCTATTGTGCTAAAACACATCGATATCGCTTCTTTCCAGCTGTTTTCTGGTTTTGGAAGAAAGTTTCTTGAATGTACTGGCATATATCCAACACTGAGCAACCACAGCAACTGATGATGGTCCCAGGGCATAAGGTGGAGGACGGTGACAAAAACTGTGGTACTATATGTTCACCACTGTGTAGTATCCAACATTAAATGGAGAGAGACCGAATCCTTACCTTATACTTGTAGTATCTCCAGACAGAGCATATGCCATCTCCGCTAATACAGAAAATTTACAATGACTCAGATATATACTTCTAGCAACAAAAGTGTTATTGCATTTCACACATCTTTGTTTTAGAAACTGAGGGGGAAAAAAAATCCTTTCTCAGCTACAATACTGCAAGTGTGATGGAAAGTATTAATTGCAGAGGCACTACTTTGTTACAGAGGGAAATTTATTTCTCAGACTTCAACAACTGGAAATTTGCAGGCAGAAATAAAATACTGTACTATACAATTAAAGAAGTCTCCTCCCTATTCGCACTCTATGTTTGTGTACATATATGCATATAGATGTATATGCATTTAACATCACTGTATCACTTTTAATTTTCCTTCTTTGATTACAGAAAAGGAGATTGCATTCAAGAATTTGCTAATCATTCACTGCCAATCCCCACCAAAGAAACATGTGACAGTAAAGGTGAGAGGAAGAAAGGAAAAAGGATGGAGATGATCCCCAAGAAAAAAAATGCACATGAAAGAGTGGGGAACTGCAAAAGAAAGAGTAAATATAAATGTATTCCAAACACATAATATTTGATTTTATAAAGGAAAATACTTCTCTGGTTGCTGCGATGCTAGTTCAGAGTGAATGTCTATAATGGTTATTCATGATTAAAATCACGTCTGGGACCACCCAGTTAGATAAACTGAAGTACACACGCTAATGTTCCTTGGAACGCTATTAAACTTATAGGCATAATTTTCATATATCATGTAAATACATACTTAAGTAAATCTACACACCAAAAAATTCTATTGCTTACAAGATATTGGCTTAATTCTAATATAATACACAACTAGAAATAAAATCATTATTGTATTTTGTTTCAGAAACTGAGAGGAAAAAAGTAATTTCTCAGCTACAGTGCTGTAAATCTTATGGAAATCATTCATTCCAAACATATATAACTGCATGTATAGATGATAAGCATACATATATAAATGTGATTATAGACTACTCATTTATTTTCAAATTATTGCAATGCAAGCTCTGTTACAGTTCTGATTTTTTTTTAACTTTCCCAGCTCTAATTTCCATAGCTTCTTGAAAATCCTCAGCATTTTCTATCCATTCTTTTCAATTAAATAATCAGATATAACAATTTTAGTATCTTGCATATACTTGTCAAGGAGTTAGACTCTTCTATACACCACAGAACTTTACATATGGAGAAAAATAATGCATGCTTTTGGCTCACCATCAGCAATCGCTTCTCCTTTAAGGCTCTTCATTCCTCCCAGAACTGGAATTCCATCCATGTAAAAATCAATTATACTGTCATCCAGAGTAATCAGAAGATGAAGCCAAGTATTTTCATCCAGATATTTCTGGATTGTTGCTTTAGCCATATATGTCATATTGGATCCTAATGCTGTATAATGAAGCACTACAGAAACATGAGAATAATTTGTTTGGATTTTCACGCCGTAATATAAGGTCCCATTATCATCATCCTTTTCAATTATATAACCATCAGTGCTGACGTTAGGAATTAACCACGCTGAAAATGTAAAATTAGTTACTGCAGTATTTCCATTGTACAGGTGTTCTGGACCAATAATCCCAAATGCATCCTCTTTCCCACTGAAATACAAAGCATCTGTTCCACTGTGATGGCGCCTCATGTGGGGCTGAGACTGTACTGAACTTGGAAATGATCCCAGCAACAAGAAGTCTACCATTGATGGTAGTCCAGCTTGGAAGGTACTAGACAGTATTTCCCAACCTAAACGGACAACACCAAAGGTGCCTTGTTGTCTCCAGATGGTGAAGTCTGTAATATAGGAAAGATCATCTTCAGAAAGAACATCTTCCACTATCTCTCTGTCTTGGCTCTCTGGGTCTATAACAAAGACTCCAAAAGGGTCATCATTGAATGGGATCATCACGGTGACAGCAAGGTTTGTTTCAGACAACTGACCACCAGGACCAGGAGACCCACCTATAAAATGAAAGTTAGAGCAAAAGTTAATGGTTGGTTTCAAACAATCCGGTCTGAAAAAAGCTACTAAGTACTTAAAATTTCTTTAATAAAATATCTTTCTAAAGAGGCTTAAATCTTTAAAGAGCCCCTGAACTCTTAGAAAATGCTCTGATTTAATAATCACATATTTTAACTTTATTGTTTTTAAAACACTTTAGTGACAATTTTCATAGAAAACAAAGCAGAACGTTATTTTTCAACTGCAAAACACCCATTTGTCTTTCAGCTAAAACACAATTAGCTCCAACTTTTCTGATTTAGTCAATGAGATCTGTTACCCTTGATTCATTTGAATATCTATGGGCCAAATTGACATGGGGCCAAATTAAATTCTCATATTACTCCAAGACTTACATGAATATGGAATGGCAAAATTTGGCCCATTGGCTCTGAAACAGAAGTAGTAACCAATTGTGCATTAAAATTGCTGCCAAGTCCTGCCGTCAGTCATTTATTTCTGCACAGTAAAAATTCGTGACACAAAGATTGTGATGTGAACATAGAGCCTCCATGTTCAAAGTCTGCAGTGGTCTACCTATTATACGTAGGAAATCTCCTGTACACACTTACGGATTATACATATTTTCAGTTGCAACTGGGCACAGAAGACCGTAAATAGTACTGAGGTGGAATGAGCCCAGGTGATTTGGAACTCTGCTCAGTAACAGACCTGTAGCAGTTGTAATTTAAGTTATATGAAGTGGTAACTATAAGTATTTTACCTCCTCTAGAAAAAAGCAAACAAACAAACCTACCAACCTCCATTATGGTAGACATGCATAACCTTTAATAGCTTTATTTTGTCTTCAACTACACGAAGACCTACACCTCTGAAATTAGCAAGAGGCATCCTTTGTAAAGGTCAGACCACCAAAATGTCTTTAACAGTAATACAGGTACCAAATAACTGCATTCATACACCTAAATTAAGATTAAATGAAAAATAAAACCTAAAACCTTACCAGAAAAGCATAGGATATCAAGATATGATTCAAGGCAAAGCTCTTTCCAGGGTTGGTTTCTTTTTGATTGATTAAACAAAATTCTTTTCTACCAGATATGAAGGGAATGGTGATATGGAAGACAATACCTGAAGCATTCACCAACTTTAGAAAGTAAAATTCATTGAATTCAGGAATTCTATCCGAAATAGCACGGAGTGTTATTGGCTTTGAACCTTCACCATCCATGAAGTACACAGTCCCGTAAGTTTCATGGAACTCTTCTCCTGGCCTCAGCGCAGAGCCATTATCAAAGAGCTGCCAGGTCAACGAGACATTGCCAAAGTGTCCTCTACGTCTCAAAACCCTGTTCAGTGATACAGAAAGAGTGAACGTCCTGGCAGGTATGCATCAGCACTCACTACCAAAGGAAAACACAATTACACTGAACTTTCTTACTGGGAAAAATAATATACAACATTCTAAATAAGCATGAGCAATAAATACACACATGAACAATAACACAATAACACAAACTCTCTGAAGGCCAGCAATTTCACAGCGTAATTCCACTCCCAGGTATACCACAGGTACCTTAGAAAAAAAGTAACCGATGCAGGTCCCTGCAAAGTAGTACTGTTAAGCTAAATATCAGTTTGTCTTGCACTTCTATTACCTAAATAATAAATACAAATGTATAATAGTTCAGCAAGTAAAAATTAAAACCTGATATGCCCGGCCACCCTTAGACAAGAAAGAGAGTCATCTCCATTTAATCACAAACATTTCTCCTTTTAATGACCAAGCCTCCTTAAACTCTTACATTGGTATTAAATTTGGTTTATGTTGTATGTCCTTCAGAAATCTGTAGTTATTCCAGAATAAGAAAGTAGTAAATAAAAACAAGATTTTATTTTTTTGTATAGCTATCTGGTAACATAATGTTACCTATTTCCAAAGGGTATTATAAATAAAAACTGAAGCATATAGTATCTTTTTCAACAGTGTGCTTTACATATTAAAAGTGTGCTTCTGCTTGCACAGTAAAATATAACAAAAATAAAGTGAGACCATAGGAGGCTGAGAAATTAGTTCAGCAAAACTAGTCTAGGCACAGCGACACATTTATGGTGTTTCTGCTTCCAATGTTTTTTTCTGGTTTTGCCATTATTCAGGGTGGTCTACCCCAGCTGTGTAGCACTGCTGCAGTAACTCCAGTTACTCCCTTTAAAGGTCAGTGCTGCCATAGCTCTTCGCAGCAGTCAGATTATATCTTACTCTGACCGTTTTGGTATTTATGACACAATAGCCAAAGCAGCGAGGCTATGGAAGGACAGGTCCCTAGTATATGTATTTCATCAATGAGGACCGAGCAGGGTCCTCAAATGTTGGTGATCTTGGTATTATGTGCTTCCACACAGATGTATATAAACATGTTTAGTTCAAATCATCATTCTTCACACCATCAAATCAAAACTTTCTATTCTGCAAATAAGATTATAACACCACCACCCCCAAAGAGCAACATAACAAAACCAAACACACAATATATTTAATATCCACTTTTCTCAAGGATTTTCATTCTACAGATATGTAACACAAGCATACAGATGTAATTCACAAAGGTACCTGCTTCAAGGCCTTAAAACAAACAAACAAAAAAATCAAATAAAAAGATATGAAAGATAATTAAACAAATATGAAAGAGCCTCTTCCCTAACTGTTCCCACTATCACATTTATTGTGACCTAACTTCTCTTTATATCCCGTATAGAAGTTTCTTAATGAAAAAACAGTATTTTTGTCAAATTATAATCCCATCCCAACTGCATGGAACATAACAATATAAGATGCCACACAAATTCATTTTGTAACCCTTCTCATACTTGAACACACCCTATCAGCCAGGAGGAAAATACTTTAAGAGGTCAGACTAGGGTAAAATATTTTCAGTCTAGAAGACAGACACATCTGGACTTGGAGTACAGACTTCCATCTGTTATTAACAGATAGAAGTAAAACTAACAGAAAGAATACAGTAATATAGGTTGTTGTTTGTAGGGGAAGGCTTCAAAGTAAAATGCAAAAAGAAGCAAACAACCACGCAACTGTATTTAGCTGTATTTTGAAAAGATTTTATTACTTCTCTGTTAGTCCAGGTTATATCCTGCTCAATCTTCTAGATACTTCCGTAACTAAAGTCTACTGAGACAAAACAACAACGTTGTAGTCTTATTTATTTACATTTTAACATTAATTTATGTATACATTTTAATATGCACAGTCTACCTGAAAATATAACAATCGGTGTCTTCAATATGTTTACAAATCATTTAAACCAAACTTTGGTAAAGTTATTTTTCTGTAATACATTTTATCAATGCAAACTTGTATGCAATTAGATCAAAGTACTATCCATAACGTACCACATCAGTTAAAAAAAAAGCGCAAAACTGTTATTTAAAAGTTACTTACAAAAAATTGTTACTTTTGCCTTCTTCCACTGGCTTCTCTAAAGGTTCCAAGGAGAAAATTCCATTAGGATCATCATTTGCTTCAATAACAACTGTAGCCACTCCAGCCTTAAAGATAACAGTATCCCCTAAAAAAAAAAAAAAAAAAAAAAAAAAAATTTACTAATTTTATCAAAACTGGAATCAGAAATGGAGGGAAGCCCAAATCTGATGGTGTTTCCTTTTCACACGAACTGCTTTTATGGAAACAAAGAAATGAACAATGATAAAACAATCAGTGAAAAACAATATTTGAGATATTCACGAACAGGCAAATTAGAGTAAAAATACTAAGTAGCAACTCATGCAGAGAGCAGGACATAAGATTTGCAGGAAAAATATATGTGACATAACCAGAGAAGATGTGATTCTGAGCAGAAAGGGTTGTATTAGAGGCAGTGTTTCATATTTGATGGATAGGTCAAGTCAAAAGAAAAAGATACGTATTCAGAGATTCCAGCTCTCCTTTAGTCCTAGAATAGAGATATTGCACTTAAACTAAATACTAGCTAAGAACAATGTCTAAGGTTTTATTCATACCCATATCACAGCCCATCTGAAAAGCAAAAAATGTGATACCTGTGAAGTGGAGAGGAAGCTGGGAGGATTTCCATACATCTATTAGTGCTGTAGGGACATTCTAACACCCTTCCTGTATCCACAGATGTACACTACATTTCCACTGCCATCCCATTTTTCACCCTATTTAAGAGCATTAGACTAGCTTTTGTTCCAAAGTAAACAATGTGTTTACTGCTTTAATTTCATATACCTCTATCTGTATTTTCTCTGAGGTACAACAGCCCAACACAATTTTCAAAAGGGATGTAACAATCAAGGCCAATATATGCAACTGATCATAGGAAGATAATTTTTTTTTTTTTTGCTTTCAGGAATCCGTAGAGAATCTTAGTGGTTCTAGAGAGGCATGATGATATGATCCTCCTTTTAGAGGCAAAGGGAGCCTGCAGATACTCATTCTTGTAGGACCAGTGTGCCAGGAGAAAAGTCATCATATGTTCCCAATACAGCAGTAAGAGAAAATACCAGTAAATCCTGAAGAAAGTTAGCAAAGTAGAATGAGAAGAGAAGAGAAAAAATAAGAAGAGAAAAAATGAGAAGGGAGATGAATGGCTTTGTCTAATCCTCTCTGTTACATTGACGTTCTGCAAGAGACCTGGGTACCAGAGTGAAAGTCAGATGATCTCAGGAAACACATAGACTACCTTATACTCAGATAATTGCTAAAAATTCCCCTACTACTCTCTGGCTGCCTGCTACCAACGTCTAGGGCAGATGCAGTTCGAGATCAATGAAGCCTCGTGAGCAATTCATAGACCAGCCACAGGGCGTCCACTTTAGCGTGACCTGAAGTACTCAGAATCAGTGAATCACACCATTATAGACTGTAATGAGGGCTAAGACACTTAATACACATGTCTAAATGAAGAAATCTAATTTTAAGTTTCCTCATCTTGAATTGAATCCCTGGTAGGTATTTTACTTTGTGAACCTACCACACAGATCTAACATGAAGGTATAGTCTGATGGTTAACTGTGACAGTTCTCCTTTGCTTTATTAAATCATAGCCCATAAAGTCTCAGTCATTGTTTTGATGGCTTATTCAATTCAATTTTTGTTTGCATTGCAAAGATGTGCAGCATGTTCACAGCTTATTACCTCTCAGCTACAGAATAATAAAACCTGAAGGACAGTAAATCATTAAAATTTGAGTTTTGGCAGAACTAGGGGTGGGGAAGATCTTTATTAAGCAGGTAGAGCCCAGGAAAATCTACCTATTTCTTACATTTAACTTATATTTTCTTATTAATATTACACAGCAGTGATGGTTTATTCCAGAAGACATCTATTCCAAAAATAGGAATGTGCTGAATAATTGTGTACCATATCCCAATAAATGTTAGGGGTTTTTTTTAGGGGGGGAAAAAAAAAGACAATATTATTTCTAAGATTATAAACCCATTCTTTACTGGTGCTACACTGGGTAATTTCTAACACATTCTTCTGTAGATTAAGCCTTGCAAAACTATGTCAGACTGAAAAAAATGTATGCATACATTGCACTACTACAAAAATAAAACAGAGGCCAATTTACATGGTTTTCCTCTAAAATAAGGCAGTTCTGTTTGTTTTTACAAAAATCAGGCATTTGTGTAGTATACACTGGAGCATGACAAAAAATCTAAAAGAATCCCTCTTTCACTAAGACTGCTGCACTACTAACATTCTTTAGCCTTGTGTTTCTGTAGTCAAGTCAAAACCCCATCTAATTTGGAGCATTTACATTTGAAAAGAGACTTTCACTCCAATTGTTTTTGCAGGAAAGGTTTCAGCTGCATCATTTGATTTTTGTTTCCAATTAAACAATGCAAGATGAAAATCCAAACACATTCTGTACAGTAATTGTGTAGAAATTGAAGCAAACCTTATTCATATAGTACTTGGCATTTATATATTGCTTTATGGTAAGACCAAGGCGGTGAAAAATTGCAGGAAAAAAAAGAAGAGAGTTACTAAACGCACATCAAATAGTTACTTTTACCTGTAGAATTCAAAAGGAAGATATAAAATGTTTCATCAGTTTCAGGGGTATCGTCATCATTAACGTACACGGATAAGTTCTGCTCTCTTTCTCCAACATCGAAGAAAATGACACTGCTCTTTCCAGTGGGAACAAAGTCTCCTTCTTCAGCTGTTGCATCTCCGTTAACAGTAATATACTGGACAGCAACAGCAGCATCAGCAGACCCATTCCGTATGACTGTAAAGTTTGCAACACTTCCTTCTTTAACACTCACCATCAGAGGTTCTGAAAATAAACAAGCAACAAATCTACCTGAGTTCAAGCCTGAGCTCCTTGCATGTAGCTTATTTTCTTAATCCTCCCCAGGATGATCCTTCTCCTCAGCAAAACAGAAGGCATACGTGGTAAAGGCAAGGAAATTCTTGCGGGTACAAGAGAATATGCGGGTACAAGAGAACCAATCCCAGCATCAACAAAAAGAATAATGAAATAAAATAAGGGAAGGTTCTGAGGGAAACAAATACAAATTCAACACAACAAAAATATGAATGTTTCATACTAGCTCCATTGGGATTAGGATTTCTCAATGATCTGGTCTGTCAATAAAAACTTTTTGGGGTAGTATATGTATTCTGCATTTAAAAACAATAATATCTAACCTGCAAAATAAATGGGATCATCATTCCTTGTAATTTGTAAAATTGCACTGGTTATATTGCCCAGCCTGGCTCCACCAGTAGCATTGAATAAATTGATGATGAATACTTCCATCTCTTCAGGTACCTGAAAGAGAAATTAGTAATGAAATTAATTTCTTGTATACAAAACAATGAAAAAATTAAAAAGAACCACTGAGGCGGTTAACAAACCAGAGATTTCTCAGTGTTGCTTTTTATTTATTGATCCTTAAGTGTGAAGAGGCATAACAAATGACAGTTCACACAGTTACACAGAAATCATCATCAGTCTAAAATCCTTGTAAATAAGTTCCCTCATCTTTACTGTTGTACAGGTGACCCAAAAGTTATCTTGCAGTTTCCTGCTTCTGATACATGTAATTTAGTTTTATGGATTAATTTATTTATTATTAATTGTTTTAATTCTTTTTTATATTGCTCCAAATATATCAGCATAAAAAATAAAAATTAGGATTCCTGCTATCCAAACAAAGGGTTTTACCCAAGTATTTTAATTTTTCCTGCAAATTCTTATGAGGCTTTTTAAAACCAGACATTCCTTCTTTCCCCTTAAATTGTAATGTTTTAGCACTTGCTCTTTGTCCCATATACTCACACAAAAACACTGTAAAAATGTTTACCTCATCTGGCAGTGAGTAAATGGTGATGTTTTTTGAAAACTCCAGATTATCAAAGGAAATAGTCCCTTGCTCTGGATAGATGTCGTTGGTACATGCTGGATCAACAGCCCAGGACACACTAACATTGCCATAGTTTCCTTGGTTTCTTACAACTCTGTAAGCAGCTAAAAAATGCAAACATATACAGTCAGTGTGCACCTTCAGAACAACACAAATAAAACTGAAAAAGGTCAGCAAAGCTGAAATAAAGAGAAAGGTAAGGAAATAACAAGCAAATCCACTTCTCGCAAAACTAATAATATGTGAGAACACTACACAAAAGGACACACGAAGACAGACCATTAAAGCAGCTCACACTTGCAGAGATTTGTTATTTTTTGCCTGTAAATGTACTTGGTAATGGAATAGAGAGAGATAAATTGAAGTCGCCTATATGAAGATTTAGCTCTGTTCTTCTCTCACACAGCACCCAATTCTTCACGCTCCACAAGCAGAGCAACCACCTCCAGGCTGCACTTTGCACGCACATCAATACTCCATCCCTCCTCTCTGGAATTTTCTCTACCGGATTGATCCCTCCGTTTTTCCATGCCTACCCTCCTCCACTGCTGGCCCTGTACCACCCTGGAATCTCCTGAGTGGAGACTTGAGTCAGATATTGCCCTAGAAAGGTGAAATGGAGAAAAGAAGCCTTGCAGGGGCAGGCAGCAGATAAAGCAGTAACTCTAATGAAAAAGAATTACCAGTATAGATGACTTCTCCTTTACTTTCCTTTATTGTAACTGATAGTTCATCAGGTAGAAACTGAATGACACCATGTGGATCATCATTCTTCAGGATGGTTATATTGACCCTTGTGGCATTCCCCAACTTTCCTGGTATTTCACTGTAGCCACTGAGTACTACAGAATATCTCTCATCCAGCTAGAAGAGGGAAACTCAGTCAGAATAAAAATGCATATTCATTGTTCGTATCCGAAACAGATGGGCAAACATCCACAGTCCCTAGCCAGGCAGAAAGAGATACAAATTTAAACAACATGAAATCACACACTCTCTCTACATGCACATTGAGTTTGTACATTGCCATCAGAACAAAGAAATAACCAGAAATTTCTATCTCTGATAGGACCATTTTCTCCAAAAATCTAGCATTATTATAGGCAAGGACTTATCATCACATCAATTAATCACATCAATTCACTGGTACCAATATATTTACAAGGTAAGTTTTATTTTCTGTAAGATTTTTTAATGTTTCTGGCTTTATAACAGGGAAAGCAAAGATTGTAAAACCATTGACAGCACACTAATTTAAAAAGAATGTATCAGCTTGCTCTATTAATCTAATGGGACATTGTACTTTCTATATTCCTTGAAAAAAGCTCACAGGTAATGCTTCAAGGAACATTAAAAAAAGTATTGCATCGATGTATCTGTACGGCAAATATTAGTCTAGACTGGGGAGCACTGAGTGAAACTAGCAGACAATTACTAGGAAAGAAACAAAAAGGAAGTGGTTCTTCACACAGAGTTCAACTAAACAATGGCGCTCTATGCTACTGAATGTCATGGATGCTAAAAACTTACATGGATAAAAACATAACTGTTTCAATTCACAGAATAAAATCCACTGAGGACTATTAAACCCAAAGACAACAGCTATTATTCCAGGCATCCCTGGTTTGGAATTTGGGAAGGCATTTTGGTGAAAAGCCATTACACACTTGTTCTGCTTCTATATCTAAAATTTTAATAAGTGACAAACTAATGTGGCTGTGAACACAATTTGAAGAGAGAAGAATATTAATTTTTACCTCTGGAATCCCATCCATCCTTGTCAGAAGAGTAATTATGATTTCCCTTTCACCAGGCTTGAACTCCAGAATTCCCGTGCTTCCATAAAACTCGTTATTGTCTCTCGGTTCCACAGTGTAACGTAGAAACTGCCTGACGAGACTCCCTCTACTGCGGACAATCTGCAGTTCCACTGACTCCCCTTCCTGTAAAAAGAAAATCCAGCACTAAAATTCTAGCACTCTCTTGAAACTAAGTTGTCCATAATGATTCAGAAATTACTCAGATAGCTACCTTGATACTGTAGGGACCTCTGGAAGAGGGAGAAAATTCAAAGACTCCTCCAGGATCATCATTTTCCAAAATAGTAATTTCACGAGTAGTAAACCCATATTTCAGTATCTGATTTTCAACACTGACCCTGAGAAAGGAAGGCAAGAGTTTGTTCTGAGTGACAATTCAGTTTGGCAAGTACACCGACATCTGTGAGAAGGACATCAGAATACTGATGAATTTTATGAATAAATTACAATTAGATTAGATTTTATAGTTGGTGGTTTTCTGATTAGATTTTATAGTTGGTGGTTCCGGATTTTTTTAGTCATGCATGCACACAATGCACAGGAAAAGAAACAGAATTGTGCAGTAAAAAGTTAGAGTTACATTCAGTATTATCTTGTATTTGGATCAAAACATATAGAATAACCCCAAAATTACTTCACAAATAGAAATTACATTGAAAACCACACGTTCTTACCCTCTTCTGCAAAATTTACAATTCCTACAATTAGGAAGAGACTTGCCCCTCAATATTGAGGATTTCACCCTCACCCGTGTGTTCACCTGCCTTCTCTAAGATGTGGACACCACCCATAGGATCCCAGTCTGGCTCTAGTAACTGTTGGACCCACTCTCAGTAGCTCAGACTTGTTCCTTTTCTCCTCCTTTACTCACAAACCCACTGCGCAAAAACTCACAGTGAATGGTGCAGGCATAACCAAATGGAGCTTCTTGTGGTGGAGGACTTCTCTCCCTGGGCTACTGCTACACCACCTTGGATACGTATGGGCCATATCTGGCAGGAGAAGGCAACCTTGCACTCTTCTTGTGTTCATTTCCTCATAGAATCATAGAAGGGTTTAGGTTGGAAGGCACCTTGAAGATGATCTAGTTCCAACCCCCCTGCCATGGGCA